TGGAGAAGTTCAACATGACGCAGGCCAAGCCCATCTCCACCCCCCTCCCCTTCGGCCACCAACTCGCCCCACCCACCTCTCCCACCTCCTCCCCTCACCCCTATGCCGAGCTCGTTGGGTCCCTGATGTACGCGATGATGTGCACCCGCCCCGACCTCGCCTATCCCATCAGCGTGCTCGCTCGCTTCGTCGGCACCGGCCGCCACAGTGAGGAGCACTGGAAGGCGGCCAAGCGGGTCCTCCGCTACCTTCGAGGGACCAAGGACCTTGCCCTCACCCTTGGCGGTTCTTCCCCTCCTCTCCTCTCGGGCTTCAGCGACTCCTCCTGGGCCGACACGCAGCCGGACCGCCGCTCCTCCCAGGGCTACGGCTTCACCCTTGGCAGCGGCCTCATCAGCTGGCGCTCTACCCGCTCCTCCGCCATCTCTCTCTCCACCTGCGAGGCCGAGCTCTACGCCGGCACCATGGCCGCTCAGGAGTCCCGCTGGCTCTGCTTCCTCCTTGCCGAGCTTGGCGCTCCCCAGACGTGCCCCACTCTCTGGTGCGACAATGCCAGCACCATCCATCTCACTGAGGACCCTGTCTATCATGCCCACTCCAAGCACATCGAACTTCGCTATTTCTTCATTCGCGAGCTTGTCCAGAAGGGTCTCATTGCTGTCGCAAAATTGCGACCGAGGCCAACTTGGCCGACATTTTCACCAAGGCCCTCCTTCGCCCTGCGCACTCCGCTTTCCTCCGCCTCATCGGCCTTGCTCGCCCGGGCGCCCCTTGATTCAGGGGTTGTTCCCTCCTTGTGTTAGCATGCTAAGGGGTTGTGTTAGAATTATACATTGTAGCATGCTAAGCACATGTGACTGTACACCAATTGTGGTGTACAGTTGGGTTGGGACTACACCCAACATTGGGTGTAGCCTTGCACTTTGGGGTGCCAATCCACCCAATTGTGGTGGAGCCCCCAAATTGCAACCCTCTTGACTTTTGGGTACCTCACTTCACAATTGAGGCCACCACAAGCCAAGTGGGCCTAGGGTTGCCACACTTCTTAGAAGTGTGGGCAACCCAACCCACCCCACCTTTGGTTGCCTCACTTCCCAAAGTGAGGCCAACCCAACCATAGGTTGGGTTCCTCCTTCCCTTCCAAGCTTCTCTTCCCAAACTATGTATGCTAGGTTTGCTCTCTAATGAGATCACTTGTTCAATTCACATCTTTCACAGGGAATACGTTGCTTCTCAGTGCATTCAAATTCATTTGCTTCTTTATGTGTTCTTCATCTCTTGTTTCTTGAAGACCGCACACCTTTCAAAACGGCCACGCAAGCAAAGCCTTATTTTCTCCCCTCTTGTCGTCTCCGTCTCCCCTAAGACTGTCTTTCCGGCTCAACATTGACACATTGTCACATCGTTGCATCAACATAGTCACATCCGACGGTTCCTGCTCATCAAAATATATATGCTTCCCCTCATATAGTCACATTCCTCCTCTTACTTGCCCCTCTTCCTCACAGGGTCTGTGCCAGACGGGCAAGAAGCAGAGCCCCATCAATATAGTCACATCCGCAGTGAAGCGCGCCGATGGGCCATCGCTGCTGAAAGTGAAGCACCCTCTGAACCGCGAGATCACCGTCACCAATGAGGAGCACGCTGCTGGTAAGACTGCTAGTAAGACTGGCACGCTGCTACGGCACGTTGCTCGTAAGACTGGCACAGGCAACCACCTCACACTCCCCTTCACTTCTCTTTTCTCTTCCCCCTCCCCCCCTCCCCTCTTTCATTTCTCATTCACAGCTGTGTCGCCACAGGCGGGAAAGCGCTACTACCTCACCCTCCCCACGGGGCTGCACAAGCTAGACCACTCCGACCTACAGGTGAGGCGAGAGCTCTCCTTTGTTGACCTTGATAAGACCTTGACTTTCATAAGGCAGCCGATCCTCCTCACCAGGACGACGAGAGGCGCAGCACCCTGTCCTTGCAACATTTTGTTGGTGTAATCCAATGTCCCTCGCATGCACATGCCTGCCATTTTCACAAACAACGCAGCGGCGGGGCATTCTCAACATCCCACCAGATGTGATGTGCTCCATGCTCTTTTGAGGCGCCTCAAAAGTCGCACGTGGCCATGGGAGCCAGCAGCACGGCGCGCTGTATGCCCAACACCCTGCCTATCCATCTCCCATCGTGCCTCAGAGACTGTTCTCTCCCATCGTGCCTCAGAGACTGTTCTCTCCCATCGTGCCTCAGAGACTGTTCTCTCCCATCGTGCCTCAGAGACTGTTCTCTCCCATCGTGCCTCAGAGACTGTTCTCTCCCATCGTGCCTCAGAGACTGTTCTCTCCCATCGTGCCTCAGAGACTGTTCTCTCCCATCGTGCCTCAGAGACTGTTCTCTCCCATCGTGCCTCAGAGACTGTTCTCTCCCATCGTGCCTCAGAGACTGTTCTCTCCCATCGTGCCTCAGAGACTGTTCTCTCCCATCGTGCCTCAGAAACTGTTCTCTCCCATCGTGCCTCGGAAACTGTTCTCTCCCATCGTGCCTCAGAGACTGTTCTCTCCCATCGTGCCTCAGAGACTGTTCTCTCCCATCGTGCCTCGGAAACTGTTCTCTCCCATCGTGCCTCAGAGACTGTTCTCTCCCATCGTGCCTCGGAAACTGTTCTCTCCCATCGTGCCTCGGAAACTTTTCCCTCCCATCGTGCCTCGGAAACTGTTCTCTCCCATCGTGCCTCGGAAACTGTTCTCTCCCATCGTGCCTCGGAGACTGTTCTCTCCCATCGTGCCTCGGAAACTGTTCTCTCCCATCGTGCCTCAGAGACTGTTCTCTCTCATCGTGCCTCGGAAACTGTTCTCTCCCATCGTGCCTCGGAAACTGTTCTCTCCCATCGTGCCTCGGAGACTGTTCTCTCCCATCGTGCCTCAGAGACTGTTCTCTCCCATCGTGCCTCGGAAACTGTTCTCTCCCATCGTGCCTCGGAAAGTGTTCTCTCCCATCGTGCCTCGGAAACTGTTCTCTCCCATCGTGCCTCGGAAACTGTTCTCCCCCACCGTGCCTCGGAAACTGTTCTCTCCCATCGTGCCTCAGAGACTGTTCTCTCCCATCGTGCCTCGGAAACTGTTCTCTCCCATCGTGGCTCGGAGACTGTTCTCTCCCATCATGCCTCGGAAACTGTTCTCTCCCATCGTGCCTCGGAAACTGTTCTCTCCCATCGTGCCTCGGAAACTGTTCTCTCCCATCATGCCTCGGAAACTGTTCTCTCCCATCATGCCTCGGAAACTGTTCTCTCCCATCGTGCCTTGGAAACTGTTCTCTCCTATCGTGCCTCGGAAACTGTTCTCTCCCATCGTGCCTCGGAAACTGTTCTCTCCCATCGTGCCTCAGAGACTGTTCTCTCCCATCGTGCCTCAGAGACTGTTCTCTCCCATCGTGCCTCGGAGACTGTTCTCTCCCATCGTGCCTCGGAAACTGTTCTCTCCCATCGTGCCTCAGAGACTGTTCTCTCCCATCGTGCCTCGGAAACTGTTCTCTCCCATCGTGCCTCGGAAACTGTTCTCTCCCATCGTGCCTCAGAGACTGTTCTCTCTTATCGTGCCTCAGAGACTGTTCTCTCCCATCGTGCCTCGGAGACAGTTCTCTCCCATCGTGCCTCGGAAAGTGTTCTTTCCCATCGTGCCTCGGAAACTGTTCTCTCCCATCGTGCCTCGGAAACTGTTCTCTCCCATCGTGCCTCGGAAACTGTTCTCTCCCATCGTGCCTCAGAGACTGTTCTCTCCCATCGTGCCTCAAAAACTGTTCTCTCCCATCGTGCATCGGAAACTGTTCTCTCCCATCGTGCCTCGGAAACTGTTCTCTCCCATCGTGCCTCGGAAACTGTTCTCTCCCATCGTGCCTCAGAGACTGTTCTCTCTCATCGTGCCTCGGAAACTGTTCTCTCCCATCGTGCCTCGGAAACTGTTCTCTCCCATCGTGCCTCGGAGACTGTTCTCTCCCATCGTGCCTCAGAGACTGTTCTCTCCCATCGTGCCTCAGAGACTGTTCTCTCCCATCGTGCCTCAGAGACTGTTCTCTCCCATCGTGCCTCGGAGACTGTTCTCTCCCATCGTGCCTCGGAAAGTGTTCTCTCCCATCGTGCCTCGGAAAGCGTTCTCTCCCATCGTGCCTCGGAAACTGTTCTCTCCCATCGTGCCTCGGAAACTGTTCTCTCCCATCGTGCCTCAGAGACTGTTCTCTCCCATCGTGCCTCAGAGACTGTTCTCTCCCATCGTGCCTCGGAAACTGTTCTCTCGCATCGTGCCTCGGAAACTGTTCTCTCCCATCGTGCCTCGGAAACTGTTCTCTCCCATCGTGCCTCAGAGACTGTTCTCTCCCATCGTGCCTCAGAGACTGTTCTCTCCCATCGTGCCTCGGAAACTTTTCTCTCCCATCGTGCCTCGGAAACTGTTCTCTCCCATCGTGCCTCGGAAACTGTTCTCTCCCATCGTGCCTCGGAAACTGTTCTCTCCTATCTTGCCTCGGAAACTGTTCTCTCCCATCGTGCCTCGGAAACTGTTCTCTCCCATCGTGCCTCGGAAACTGTTCTCTCCCATCGTGCCTCGGAAACTGTTCTCTCCCATCGTGCCTCGGAAACTGTTCTCTCCCATCGTGCCTGCCTTGCAGCTGCCCGGCATCTGCTCGGCATCCTCCTGGTGAACGGCATGCAGGCAGCCTTGGAGGCCAAGTGGAGTGGGTGCACGGAAACTGCTGTGCTGTACCTACTCAGTAACCTGGAGTGCCCAGTAACAAATATTGCCCTTGCCTTCTCTCCTTCTCATGCATGCAGGTGCCCAGCATCCACGGTCCACCTGGTGGGCGGCGTGCAGGCGCCCATGGAGGCCAAATGGGCACACGGGGACTACTGTGTTGCGCCCACACAATAACCAGCACCACCCTTGCCCCCTCTACCTCTCATCTTTCTCTCACACGCGCAGGTGCCCAGCACCCACCTGGTGGACGGAGTGCAGGCGCCCATGGAGGCCAAGTTCGCGTATGTGTGCCAGCACAGCAGGTCCACGCGACCATTCCTTCGCTGCATGCTCATGCACCACGCAATGTGCTACCTCTCTCCCATCGTGCCTCGCTGTGCCTCCGTCATCCAGGTGCCCAGCATTCACCTGGTGGACGGAGTGCAGGCACCCATGGAGGCCAAGTTCGCGTATGTGTGCGAGCAGAGCAGGACCGTGCGACCCACTCCTCTGGTGAAGCCTCAATGCTCATTTGCCACACGTGCCATTTCTCTCCCACATTGCTTTGCCTTGCTGCATATGCGCAGGTGCCCAGCATCCATCTGGTGGACGGCGTGCAGGCGCCCATGGAGGCCAAGTTCGCGTATGTGAATGTTGGCAACACCACTCGCAAGTCCGTCTTCTCCGTCTTCCTAAAGCTGCACCCCAACGACAAGGACAACGCCTGGCTCAACTTGTAAGCACCTATGACGTGAGCAGTTAACATGTAAGCTTCTGCGCTGTGAACGTGTAATCACATGCAGTGTGAGGTGAGCGCACATGTGCGCATATATGCTCGTGAAAGGCTGTAGTGTCACCGCAATTCTCAAGCTGCACCCCAAGGACAAGGACAACGCGTGGCTCAACCTGTAAGCACAGACTATTGTCTCACACTCCAACAGCACTCTCACACCCAACAGCCCTCTCATGCCCCAACAGCCTTGTCACTCTAATGTGAGTTCGCACACCCACTGTGCCTCGGCCACTGCCTTTTGAGCTGACACAAAAGCCTCCCTCTTACACTGCCATGCGAATGCCGACGATGCCTGCTGCCTCTGCCTCCTCCTGCTTCCCTGATTCCCCCTTCCTCTGTACCCTCTTCCCCCCCTCTCCCCTTCCCTCAGCTGGCTGAACAACATTCCAGCAGCATTGAACGGCACTTCCAAGAAGGCAGTGGCTTCCTTTGCCTCCTGGGTTTCGCTCCCTTCACCTCGCTCCGCTCCCTCTCTCTCGCCTGCTCCTCTCCCTTCTTCTCAGCTGGCTGAAGGACATCCCAGCAGCAGTGAACGGCACGGCCAAGATAGCAGCGAAGACCAACTTCCTGGAGCTGCCTCCTTGCCTTACTTCCTTCCTCGCCTTACTCTCTCCCCCCTCCCATCCCCCTTGCCCCCAGTTGGTTGAACGACATCCCAGCAGCAGTGAACGGCACGGCCAAGATAGCAGCAAAGACCAACTTCCTGGAGCTGCTGTCGTTCAATGCGCCCTTCTGGTACTACGAGGGCTCCCAGGTGCACCCGCCCTGCACCGAGACGGTCGACTGGTTCATTTCCATGCGCCCCAAGCTCATCTCCACTCGCCAGGTGCGTGCTGCTGGGTGCTGCTTGCAGGGAGAATGATCAGTAATGGCTATTTGAAAGCAGACCGGCACTGATGGCTGTCTCACTGTTGTTGAAGTTCTTGAGACGTCTCAAAAGGTGGGTGTCTCACTGTTGTTGAAGTTCTTGAGACGTCTCAAAAGGTGGCTGTCTCACTGTTGTTGAAGTTCTTGAGACGTCTCAAAAGGTGGCTGTCTCTCTGTTCAAGTTGCTTCTCAAGTTTCTCATAATGTAAAACAACTGTCGCCGTGCTGCTTGATGCGTCTTGCTGTGCTGCCTGATGCGTCTCCCTGTACCCTGAGCTCATCTCAGCGCGCCAGGTGGTTACTGCTGAGAGCCTGAGACATTGTAGTACATGAGATTGAAGTGTTTTTTTGAGACGTATTAAGAGTACACGAAGCGTCTCGTCAACCTGCATCCTCCATCTCGCATGCACGAATAGATGTCCTCTTGTGATGCAAGGTCAACAATCTCACAACCATCATGCATCCCCTTCCCATCCCTCCCTCCCTCTCTCCCCCCGTCCTGTCTCCCTCCCTTCCTCCTCTCCTTTCGACCCCCCTCCGTCCAGCTCGCCACATACATGAACTTCTTTTGAGGCGCCTCAAAAGCCCCCTCCGTCCAGCTCGCCACATACATGAACTTCTTTTGAGGCGCCTCAAAAGCCCCCTCCGTCCAGCTCGCCACATACATGAACTTCTTTTGGGGCGCCTCAAAAGCCCCCTCCGTCCAGCTCGCCACATACATGAACTTCTTTTGAGGCGCCTCAAAAGCCCCCTCCGTCCAGCTCGCCACATACATGAACTTCTTTTGAGGCGCCTCAAAAGCCCCCTCCGTCCAGCTCGCCACATACATGAACTTCTTTTGAGGCGCCTCAAAAGCCCCCTCCGTCCAGCTCGCCACATACATGAACTTCTTTTGAGGCGCCTCAAAAGCCCCCTCCGTCCAGCTCGCCACATACATGAACTTCCTATCACGCACCAACAGGGGCGACCGCACATGCATTATCCATCCCCTCCTTATCCCTCCCTCCACTCCCCCCTCCCCTCCTCTCCATCTCATACTGCCTCTCCCCCGCCAGCTCGCCACATATATGAATTTCCTATCGCGCACCAACAGTGGTGATCGCACCAACAACAGGCTGCTGCAGCCCCTCAACAACCGCACTGTCTCGGTGTTCCTCGCCAAGTAAACCCCATGGCCGCACTGCCATGCCATGCCATGCCCTGCAAAGCATGCGCACAAGGCCGGGTGCTCTCAAGGCACATGGGAGGGAAATGAACCAGACACGGTACTGTCAATGCTGCTTTTTTATTCCAACTCAGGAGTCGCACCAACAACAGGCTGCCGCAGCCCCTCAACGCCCGCACTGTCTCTGTCTTCCGTGCCTCATAAATCCCATGTTGGGAAAGGTGGGAGAGGGTAGTGTGGGTGTTGGGAAAGGTGGGAGGGGATAGTGTAGGTGTTGGGAAAGGTGGGAGGGGGAGTAGGAGGGAGACAAAAGTGGCAGCTTGCCAGCTTAGGGGGCTGGTTTGGGGAGGGAGGGTGGACTGTTAGAGTGTTGGCTTGTCTCAGCTGACCAGACAGCTGGCAGCATGTTGCATGCACCCCGGTGGCTCTTACAGGCAGTTTGGTTCTACCGTTGTACTGTACGCGGTGCTGCACAGCTTTGCTACACAGCTTCTGCACAGCTTTGCTGCACAGCTTTGCTACGTGGTGGCATCTTATGGCCTTGGGATTGGTCATGACTTGTGCCCCTAATGGCGTACCATCATGTGTGAAGTGAAGATTGGGTGGGCATGGGTGGTGGCAGCGGCGTGTGGGGAAAAATATTTGCTAGTGTGGTTTTGCCCTGCTGTTTTGTTTCTAGTGTTTGCAATCTAAATAAATATTAATGTTCTGTGCTCTTTGTTACGCACAGTAGGCGTCAGCTGCTAATAGTCCACTCGGCATTTGAAAAGGCTTGCTTCTCACTGGAAAGACACCAACACATGATTTGAACATGGGAATTCGAGTACTGAACCAATTCATATGTTTTCATTCGTATGCATCCCAATGGGACGTCGGACAGCCTATAGTTTTGAGGCGCCTCAAAACTAGCATGTATTGCATCCCCATGGACGGACGCGCTATATTTACAATACTAGCCCCTAGCTGCTATGCATATGGGACGGTGTGGGGTGATTCAGTTCCCCCCTGGGATGGTGCTCAGCAAAACACCACCGTATTCCACCACGCTCTACCATGCTCCACAATGCTCCACCGTACTCCACCTTACTCGTGACCGCAACTGTTGGCTACCACTGTCTGGCACAACAAATTCTGAGACTACCTGATTTCGAAGCAGCACCCACCATTTGCACCCCACACCCTCACTTCACTCCTGTAGCACCCAAATCCCGTGCTACAGCCTGCTAGCACCCAAACCCCCTGCTGCAGCCTGCGAGCTTAGTGAAAAGGGACGCCTCGAGCTGGGCTGTGAGGGCGCCCTTGGGGAAGGCGGGCGTGGTGACGAGCACGTAGAAGGACGAGGGCATCTGGGGGGAAGGGGAGAGGGGTGGAAGGGAAGAGGAGAGCAAGGGAGGATTTGAGCCGGGCTGTGAGGGCGCCCTTGGGGAAGGCGGGCGTGGTGACGAGGACATAGAATGATGAGGGCATCTGCAAGGGGGATGACGGAAAGAGAAGGTGGAATGGAGGGAGGGAGGGGGGGGGGGGGGGGGGTGGGGGGAGAATGCAGCTGGGCTCTGAGGGCGCCCTTGGGGAACGCGGGCGTGGTGACGAGCACGTAGAATGATGAGGGCATCTGCCAAGGAGGGCGATGCGGATGGAGGGGAAGATGAGCAGAAGGGAGGACTTGAGCTGGGCCCTGAAAACTCCCTTGGGGAAGGTGGGCGTGGTTAAGAGCACGTAGAATGATGAGGGCATCTGGCAAGGAGGGGGAGGGGGATGTGGAGAGGAAGAGGAGAGGGAGGCGAGGGGTTAGGGTTTAGTGATGGCTCTGAGCTGGGCGCTGAGAGCGCCCTTGGGGAAGGCGGGCGTGGCGAGGAGCACGTGGAATGATGAGGGCATCTGAGAAGGAGGGGGAGGGGGGCAGGGAGAGAAGTGAATGTGAGAATCTCTCTTTGAGCTGGGCTCTGAGGGCACCGTTGGGGAAGGCGGGCGTGGTGGCAAGGACAAAAAGGACGAGGTCAACTGTCAAGAGGAGGGGAGAGAGGGAAGGGAGAGTGGAGGGAGGGGAGGTGAGATGGTCGTTCTGAGGTGGGCTCTGAGGGCGCTTCTGGGGAAGGCGGGAGTGGTGATGAGCACGTAAAAGGAGGCAGGCATCTGCCCAAAAACGAGAGGGAGGGGGGAAGCCGGAGTGGGAAATGACATGGAGGGGCGGGACGTGAGAATGATCGCTCTGAGGTGGGCTGTGAGGGCGCTTCTGGGGAAGGCGGGAATGGGGACTAGCTGGTGCAAGGAGACAGGCATCTGCCCATTGGGGATGGGAAGGAAAGAGAGGAGGGAGGGAAAGGGTCAGGGGTTGGAGGGAAGGAAGATAGGAAAGCGGCGCTTTGGGCTGGCCCCCTGACGGCGCTTTTGGGGAAGATGGGCGTGTTGACAAGGATGGAGACGGATGCAGGCCTCTGGAGAGATGTATTTTCTAGGCGCCTCAAAAACAGGTTTTGGGGACGGTGGGTATCTGGAGAATGGGAGAGAGAGGAAGAGGGTGAAGAGAGATTGTGCGGTTCTGAAGGGTGTGGTGAAGCAGACGTGGAGGGAAAGGGGTGCTGAGAGGTGAGGGGAAGGGGATGAGAGTGAGGAGAGGAAGTGGATGCGAGAGCGGATAGCGAATGTGCGGTTATGTAGGGTGTGGTGAAGAGGACTTGAAAGGAAAAGGGTTCTGAGAGGGGAGAGGAGGGGGGAGGAGGAGGGAACGGGGAAGGGAGTGGAGAAAGGGAAGGGCCGAACATAGATGACATGCCACGGACAGGAGGTGGAAGGGGGATGAGAGGGTATAGCTGTAAGGGAGTCAGGGGGATGAGAGGAGGCATTGGGAAGGGATGAAAGACGGAAGGGGGTGTTAGACGGAAGGGGGTGGGAAAGGGAAGAGGGAGGGAGACGGAGTGAGAAAGGAAGGTGTTGCACGTTGGTGGTGACAATGCTACAATGGTCTTGATGGCCTTCGTAAGGAGTGGCATGTTACTGTACCCGCATGATCATTGAAAACAGTAATTTCAGCGACTCTCCTGTCGGAATCCTCTTCTTGCTCGCCTGCTTGAACACGCCCTGAAGCGCAAATCCATTCCCCGCGCCCGCCCCCGTTTTCCCCTTCCCCTTCCCCTTCCCGTTTCCCCTTCCCTTCCCCCGTCCAAAAAGTTTTCCCATGTTGCCCCACGCCTTGTCAGCAGTGCCAGCAGGGATCCACGTGGACGAGTTGAGGTCGAGGATGGATAGACCGTTTTTTGTGGCGGCTGCCACGTGGAGGGATGCTGACGTGGGCTTTTCTGGCGTGCTGAGCTGGCTGACTGTGACTTGGTAGCGGATGTTGAGATCTGCTCCTGATCTGCCACGTTGGAGAAGGGGGAGGAATCGGAGAGGTGGGGTTGAGAGGGAAGAAAAGCGATCTCAGGATAACGAAGAGTGAAAGGATAGGGAGAATCAGGAAAGTGGGGCCTGGAGGCAAGGGAACGATGGGGTGGTAACATGGAAGTAAAGGGGTGGTATCATGGTTGCAGGAATGCAATAGATTTTACTTCCATGTAGGAAAGAGTCATGAAACGTAGAAAAAGGGGGGAAGGAGGGTTGGGTGGAAGGAAAAGGAGCAGGAATTAAGTGTAAGTGGCACTATTCTTTGCTTGCACGAGCTGTTGTTAGATCAGCATTTGGTGATCCTGACGCTTCCTGCTTCTTCCCACTAGTACACTGTGATTATCCTTTGTACATTGTGTAACGTCGTGATTTCTCGACTCTCAATATAATAACAGATAAACAGTCGAGATGAACACTGTACTCTTACTTGATTATTACAAACGTGACTTTGCCCGAGGCCCCGCGGTCGCCCACGCTGCCGACCACATTCGCACCGGATAGTGTGCCATGCACCTCCCCTGGCGAAAAAGACGACGCGACATGAGAAGGGAAAACAACTAAATCTCAAAAGCGACTCGCATTCGCACCGGACAGTATGCCGTGCACCTCCCCTGGCGAACAAGACGACACGACATGACGACGGGGAAACAATCAAATCTGAGTCGCTTCTGCGACTCGCATTCGCACCAAACACCTCAGCTGGCGAGGAGGACGACGCAACGCGGGGACGGGGTAGCACATTGCAGTTGCAGACCTCTCAAGGGGTCGGCGAGGGTAAGCGGGGAAGAGAGGCAAGAGGAACTGGTGTGTGGGAAAAGGCGCGAGAGTTTGCAGCGTCGGCTAGTTTGAGGGAGAGGGTGGAAGAGGAGCGGGTATGTGTGGTGGGGCGGTAGAGGGGAAGGGAAATGGGAGGGTGGGAGGCAATTACGGAGTAGGAAGCCCCGCTAGGCGAAGGCTCGTTAGGTGTTTTGGAACTAAAATGCACAGGAACCATAAGAAGACAGTTGACGACGAGGCACAGACGTGCGGGGAAAGGAACTTGTAGATATGGGGGCTCGTTGGACACGTGGGCGTGCAGGGAGGAGGCCACGTGGATCAAGAACCCACTAAAAGGAACAGCGATCAGTTTCTGCTGTAACTCCGTTATATTCACATCCTGCTGCCCGCCTCCGCCTCCGCCTCCGCCTCCGCCTCCGCCTCCGCCTCCACCTCCGCCTCCGCCTCCGCCTCTGCCTCCGCCGCCGCCGCTACCAGGGAAGCCCGGAATATTCGACTTTGATGCGACGACTGGAGGGGCGTGAGGGAGGGACGGGGGTGGGAGGGAAAGGAAGAGAGAGTGGAGGGAAGGGCCGGATGGTCGCAGGAAGAGTGGGAAATCTATGAGGGCGCCTCACTAGTTGACCACAAAATCAAGATTGAAGTAGTGCGACGACTGGAGGGGTGTGACGCAGGAGCCGGGGGAAGGTCGGACAGGCGGGTGGAAAGGGGAGAGTGTGAGTGAGGTTTCTCACAAGCAGCTAGGAAAGCCAGTCAGGATCGCTCTCTGAGATTCGCGGGTGTGAGATTCGGGGGATGTGGCGCTGTTGTGGGGAAAAGGAGTTGAGAAGGGGAGAGGGGGAGAACGCGGAACCAAATGCAATGGCAAATTGATACAGCCGCCGTTACCAGGATCTGAGGCGCCGAAATATTCGCTGAATTTTACTTCAGCGTGTCGCGCGTGTCACGAAATGTGCCAAAAGGATCTGACTGTGCAAGAGGCACACGCTGCCACGTGAGAGGGTGATTTTCGAACTCTTTTACTTATGAGATTTCTGCGTTTGTCGGGGATTCTCAGCATGCGCTTCGGTTTACTTGCGGGGAAAGACCAGCGAGGGACAGTCCGTATGCTCCTCGCAAGTCAACTCACGGACTAAAGGCAGAATAAGCGTCGTTAATAGCGCTGCCTGCCATCGAAGAGTTGGCGTGGTGCCACGTCGGCGTCGATAAGGCGGGAAGCTGGCCGAAAACGTCGTATCGCACATGCTGCTAATTTGTTTGGAGCGCGATTCGCAGTGCCTTTGTCGTCGTCGGTTATAGCTCATGAAGATTATATCCCTAGACTGTTCTTTCCTATGACATCAGCTTCCTTTCCGGCGCTAGCGGAACAATAAGATCCTTTCTCGAACCTGTTGAGAGCGTGGGATCTGGAAGTTTTTTCTTACGACGGTGTTTGTGGAGCTGCGAGTGAGCGCTATTCACCGCCGTGGTCGAATGCTACGGTCTACGTCGCTAGCCAAGGGAGATGTCCTCGAGAAGAAGGCGCGACGCGACTTAAAAAAAACGGAACGAGCAAACGGGCACGCGTGTGTGTCCTGTGTCGACGCGCGGGGTCTCTTGCTTCTTGTGGTTCGTGCAGTAAGATTCATGAGACGCTTTTGTTTGTAAATGAGCGACACCCTGATTGCGCCACCAGCAATTTAGATTTGAGCTTGAGAGGGATTCGAGAGAGCACTTGGCAAAACCGCTTTGACGACCGAATTCCGCTGAGGCTTTCGGGGACGAATGACGGGGTCTCCTTCACATCACCCCAAGTAGACTCACATCAGATTCTCGCAATTTCTGACAGGCGGTTCGAGACTCCGATGTCAGCGAGGCATCGCAATTTATGTTTCGTTTGGCGCTCCGACAACAGTAACAATTTTCCCTCCTTGCCTCCTCCTTACCATACCACCACCACTCTGTGTGAGTGAGAGCCTCGATCGTCATCACATGTTTCACACCGACTGCACATCAAATGAGTGTAAGGCGACTCCCAAACAGGAAGCTACTAGACGCACTGTACATTCCACAGTACTCCAGCCCACGCTTATCAAGCTCCTTGCGGCATTATTGAGGCTGCGCGGTATTCTCGACCCAACCATTAGGTTTATTCGGAGGGTTGCGTGAGCAGCCTTACTCCGCAACAGCCTTCTCAGCTTGAAGTCGCATAAACACCGAATGTACATAGTATGTTAAGCGAACTTCGCAGAAACTGAACTGAGATTGACTGCCCCGAGAGCAGCCTTAACAAATCGCAATTCAAAAGCAGCTCAAACAAGACCCTGCCTCCCATTGTCAGCAACGGCATACGAGTGGATAGTCGCCTCGCCTTCAATCTCAGATCGGAAACACCGTGTCGACCAGCAGACGCATGCCAAGCAAAATGGCCCAGCGTGTTCGCTCTCTTGCCATTATCATTCTTTTCGCGTGCATCGCCGTCTCAGGTGCAGTCCGTACAGGTGACACCAAAGGTGATCCCAGAGGTGACCCCAAAGGTGACCCCAGTTGTGACCCCAGAGGTGACCCTACAGGTGACCCCACAGGTGACCCCGCAGGTGACCCAAGAGGTGATCTTTTGTGTGTTGCTCTGTTTCCAAAGAGACTCTACAACCTTGGAGGTGGCGCAAGAGCTGTGGCACTGACGTCCCACCGGCAAACGGCGCTGGGGTGCCTTGGGAAAGTACGATCAGCTCGGCGCGCAGCTGTGTTCAACTCGTCTCTCCGTTACGAGCAGTAGGGTCCAATTGAACATTCCACTGTCCAACTGTTCGCGATTGCGCATTCAACTGACTCGGCTCCCTCTCCAATCGCGCAAGGCGCCCCGTTGCCTAGATTTGAGGCGCCTCAAAACGCGATTGCGCATTCAACTGTCTCGGCTCCCTCTTCAATCGCGCAAGGCGCCCCGTGGCCGCATGGTCGGCGTTCAGTCGGCGCGCACTGTTCCAGGTCTCGACGAATTCCCAACAGTCAAATCCCCCATTTCCTTTGATCATTTGCGCGCAGACACCTCGGGGGTAACAGCGCAGCCTTCTCTCCGGTGGCGCAAGGCGCTCAACGTGTCTACCGTGTTCAACGCCGCCAAGTTCGGAGCGGGCACGCAGAGCACGCGCAGCGGCTTCATCGGCCTGCCCTACAGTATGCTCCCCGTCCCTCTCGCTCCTCTCGCACCCCCCGCCTCTCTCCCACATCCCCGCTTCTCCCGTCCCTCCCCCCGCTCTCGCTCCTCTCACCCCCGCCGCCCCTCTCACCCCCGCAGCCCCTCTCAACCCCCCGCCCCTCTCATCCCCGCGGCCCCGTCGCTCGTGCCACCTCCGTCGTCCTGGTCGCCGCTGTCGCAATCCTGGTCGCAAGCACGTCCGGGCTCCCATCTTTTCGTGTGGCCGCTTCTACTCTCTCGCGCTCCGCAAAGCCACTTTATCTCCTCACCGCCAGCCGTCGTTTGATGCCAGCGGTTTTTTCCCCGCCACCAATCATTCCCTCTGGCTGTAGCGGAAGGGTTGCACGGAAGGGGGTTGCGGGGAAGGCGGGCTGAGCGGAGGGTGAGCAGAGAGGAATGCGGGCTGAGCGGAGGGTGAGCAGAGCGGAAGGCCTGAGCGGAGGGTGAGCAGAGCGCAGGGTGGGCTGAGCGGAAGGTGGGCTGAGCGCGGGGTGGGCTGAGCGGAAGGTGGGCTGAGCGCGGGGTGGGCTGAGCGGAAGGCCAGTTGACGCATATCCTTGACTCCCTTCCCCCCGTCCCCATCTTTTCCTCCTTGCAGGGGAGGTATACGCGAAGCTCACAGGCAAGGCCGTTCCGGGCTCCAAAGGGGACAAGGGAGCAAACGGATGGCTCGATATTAACATCTACAAGTGAGTGCGCTTATACAGGGTACATGCAAGTTACATGTCTAAGCAGGGAAATGGTTGGCCTTGGCAGCGCATGCATCCTGAAACCTTCCCAGTTTCTCATACAATTCATACCAGCTGGGGGTGACTTTTGAGTCGAGTCAGACGTCATTTCGTGCATGCACCCTGTGACCTTCCTAGGTTCTCATACGATCCATACCAGCTCGGATTTCTCTAACCGCTCTTTCCACCCCTCAACCCCACCCGCCGGTTCCTCTCCATCATATATCCTTTCACTAGCCTTTTCATGGCTCATACATATCCACATTTACGTTCTCATTATTACTCTACCCCATTTGGTTTCTTTCTCGCTTCCTCTCCGCTCTTGTGGCAACTCCAACAGATGGAACCGCGAATACAACATTCGCTTCTTCACTTCCACCTTGGGATTGTCGCGCAACGAGGTGCCGCTGTCAGTGACCATCCACCGGGGAAACCCTAAACGCGACGGCACGGGTGACACCAACATGGTTCTCTCATTTGACTCGCTACAAGCAGCCTCTGGTGCAAGTATAGGTTCTAGCTCTGCCTCTTCGTCAACCCTTGCGTTTCCATGGCTGGCTGTTGACCCAACGCCCATCCAGCGGTTACGCGGTTACAAAGGATATGGGTTTATGCAAGAGGGCACTGTGCGGAAGGCGCGGGGTGTACAAGTAGACTCGATGGGCAAGTCGCTGCACAGGTTACTGGATGAGCTTATAAAGAGGCCGGGCAAGTTCTATGTGGTGGTGAAGACACCGTCTTATCCCGACGGGGCTGCGCTCGGGTGCATGCAAGGCTCGCTGGTTACAAAGTTACTGCACTGAGTGCCCGGGGGAAACTGACTGGTTACAAAGGTACTACACTGAGCGTGCAAGGGTGACTTACTGGTTGCGAAGTTACTACACTGAGCATGTAGGGGTGTCTGACGTTTGTTCCATCGCACTGGGCATGAGGGGCTTGCTGGTTGTGGGTGGTCTTTGTTCTGGATCTGCCCGTTGTCAGCTGGGCACATCACATATGCACCTTTTATGTCATTTGTCAGCAGCAAGACACCGCCGGCTGTCATGTCAAGACCTATCATACAGTTAAGGTAATTGTTGAAGGAGATTGTGCTCGTGTACATTGTTGTGTACAGTACCGCATTTGTCTCTAGGATAGGCCGTAGTATGACCTGACCACAGACGCAACTTGAATCGAAGTATCTTTTGTGGCTAGCTAGCCAGCTTTGGTCACGGCATCTCTCCACACCCCTACCGACTCAATTTCTGACCTTGGATGGAGGATGACACTTGCATTGCAAAGTTACCGTACCATGATGCAAGAATGCTTCTGAACACACCAGCCATAAACATGGGTCTGTACTGCTGCAAAGCATACTTACAATCTCCAAAAAGCTGTAAGCAAGTATAAATCACTACACCAACCCTTCTAGTCATTATCAGGGTAGTGCCACACCAAGTATTCAAGTACAGGTTAGAGCTGCACAACAAAATACGAACCATAGGAAAGAACACTAGACTACTCTCGAGTGCATTTCAGATGTGGTTAACTCGTAAGGTTCGATGAAGGTGGGGGCGCCTCAAATGCTCAGGCACGGTGGTTATGACGCAGGAAGCGCAGAGCAGCAAAGGCAGTGACGCAGAAGACGCACAAGCAGAGGAGGAAGAGCCAGTCCCAGTGCACGTTGCTGCGTGCTGACTTGGTTGCGACGAGGAAATTCCAGAGATACCCCGGCCCCGGGCCACTGAGACAAATCGACGGCTTACGAGTGGTAGTTGTGGGTGTTGAGACAAGTCAGCACGCCTATAAGTCTCATGCGCGGTGGTTATGACGCAGGAAGCGCAGCGCAGCAAAGGCAGTGACGCGGCAGAAGATGCAGAAGCAGATGAGAAAGAGCCAGTCCCAGTGCACGTTGCTGCGCGCTGACTTGGTTGCCACGAGGAAGTTCCAGAGATACTCGGGGCCGCTGATGGGGTTGAGGTACCACTTGCATGGGCAGCTGGTGCAGGCTGTGCCGGGGCAGCCCGAAAGGGTGCACTCCGGTGCAGAGGTGTCGCAGTAGTATGATGTTGCTGTGAGGCCGTTGAGAGCGTACTGAGTGGGGGAGGGGAGGGATTGGGGCAAACGGAAGAGAGGGATGGGGCAGAGGGAGAGAGATGGAGAGAGGGAAGGTATGTGTGCCGACTTGGTGGCCACAAGGAAGTTCCAGAGATACTCGGGGCCGCTGATGGGGTTGAGGTACCACTTGCATGGGCAGCTGTCACAGGCTGTGCCGGGACAGCCCGCAAGGGTGCACTTTGGTGCAGAGGTGTCGCAGTAGTATGATGTTGCTGTGAGGCCGTTGAGAGCGTACTGAGTGGGGGAGGGGAGGGTAGGGGAGGGATGGGGACAGGGGAGAGGAGAATGGAGTGTGTGGGAGGGACAGCCTCGGAGAATGACTACTTGTGAGGGGCCTCAAAAGCAGCCTCGGAGAATGGACTTTGCTGCAGCGGCATTGCGGAGTTGAGGAAATTAATCTTCCTGGGAGACAGCAGGTAGGCCGGGAAGATGGTCCTGGGTTAGGGAAGGAGCTGTGATGAGTGAAGCCGAAGAGAGAGGAGGACGATGGTTAAAAAGGCTGGAGCTTCAGGGGATTAGATGATACCTGAACCAGATGATATATGGACCAAATGATACCTGAACCAAATGATACCTGAACCAGATGATACCTGGACCAGATGATAATCAAACCAGTGAGTAGTGCGACAAACCTGAATGGGATAGGTCCAGTAGACAGCGAGGAAAGAGTTATGGGTGAAGGCGTAGGGCTGGGAATAGAGTGGCGCACCTGGTGTGGTGTGCTCCCAGAACAAGCAACTAGTGCGACAAACCTGGGTGGGCCTTTATGCGACAAACCTGAATGGGGTTGGTCCAGTAGACTGCGAGGAAGAAGTTTTTGGTGAAGGCGTAGGGCAGGAAGAAGCCGCACGTCGCCACCCACGCTGTGATGAGGAACGAGATCACCACTGCTGCGTACTGCGTGTGTGTTGAGTGGGAGGGAAATCGAAGGGAAGATAGAAGGTTTGGGGATGAGGGGTGAGTGGCTTGTGATCATGAAGGGCAGGAAGAAACCACTCGTTGCCACCATGCTGTGATGAGGACTGAGATCACCACTGCTGCGTAGGGGAGGGGGAGAGAGAGCGAAGGGAATGAATGGGGATGGGAATGAGGGTTCTGTGGCGTGTAGATGTGAAGGGCAGAGAGAAACCACTCGTTGCCACCATGCTGTGATGAGGACTGAGATTACCACTGCTGCGTACTGTGGGTGCGAGGAGGAGGGGGGAAAGGGAGGGGAAGGGGCGGAGATGGGGATGAGGTTTTTGCGGCGTGTAGATGTGAAGGGCAGGGCGAAGAGAAACCACTCACTGCTTGCCACCCACGCGAAGGGGGGCGGCAGGGTGTACCGCAATTGTGGTCATCAATCAGCGAAAGTAGGTGATGGAGCGGGCGGCGAGAAACCGCGTGAGGGCGAAGGCAAAGAACGCCCCTGCACTGCCCACCCACCGTCAGGCCCGCTAGGTGGGCAGCAGTTTAGGTCAAGAGAAAGCAGCGCACCTTGGGCTGGGGGCGCACCTTGGGCTGGGGGCGCACCTTGGGCTGGGGGAGGACGACGGAGAGCAGGAAGCCAAAGTAGGTGACGGAGAGGGCAGCAAGGAACTGAGTGAGAGCGAAGGCAAAGAACGCCCCCGCACTGCCCACTGCCAGGCCTGCCAGCGGTGCCGCCACCGACACGAGCGCGAGGGAGGTGAGCAGCAGGTAGGGGATCTGCGTGGGGAAGGGAAGGTGGGGAGAGAGGGGAGGGGAGTGAGGAAAGAGAGGAGGGAAACGAGAGGGGATGGGAAGGGAGAGGGGGTTATAAGGGGTTGAAGGCAAAGAACGCCCCAACACTGCCCGCCGCCAGCCCTGCCAGCAGTGCTGCCACGGACACGAGCGCGAGGGACGTGAGAAGAAGGTAGGGAAGGGAAGGTGGGGAGAGAGGGGAAGTGGGGGGTGTGAAGGAAAGCCAAGTGGTGGATGTAAACATGCTCCTGCACGCACAGAACTGTACTCTGCCAGACACACAAACGACCAACCACTGCCTCACCTCAACCACTGCCTCACCTCAACCAATGCCTCACCTCAACAACTGCCTCACCTCAACCACTGCCTCACCTCACCAACGGTGTAGCCCAGCGTGTAGAGAAACGCAAAGTGCTGGTTGTACACACGCACCCACGACACCAGCACATACTCTGATGTCTCTGCACGCTTAAACGAACAACCAACCACTGCCTCACCTCAACCACTGCCTCACCTCAACCACTGCCTCACCTCAACCACTGCCTCACCTCAACCACTGCCTCACCTCAACCACTGCCTCACCTCAACCACTGCCTCACCTCAACCACTGCCTCACCTCAACCACTGCCTCACCTCAACCACTGCCTCACCTCAACCACTGCCTCACCTCAACCACGGTGTATCCAAGCGTGTAGAGGAAGGCAAAGTGCTGGTTGTAGATGCGCTCCTGCACAGAAAGTACTCTGCCAAACAAGCACTCATGGTGTCCCTTTGAGACTTCTCACCTCAACCACGGTGTAGCCGAGCGTGTAGAGGAAGGCAAAGTGCTGGTTGTAAATGCGCTCCTGCGCAAACACCTTCTTGGTCTGATTCACCAGCCCCACCGCCGTGCCTCCATGCAGCGTCGTGCCGAACGCCAGCACTGCGAAGGGGAAGGCCTGTGCTGTGGTGGCCTGTAGAGGGTGGAAAGGAGGAAGAAGAGGGAGTGGTGCAAGGGTGAGCAGATGGGCATGGACAGTCCCACCGCCGTGCCTTTTGAGGCGCCTCAAAAATTCACCAGCCCCGAACGCCTGTGCTGTGGTGGCTTGCAGAGGGGTGTGCTGGGTGGACGAGGAGGGATTGGAGCACGAGTAAGCAGACGAGCATGAACAGCACCATTGGAATCACTCTTAAGCACGCCAGCAGCGCGAAGGGGAATGCCAGCGCTGTGGTGGCCTGCAGGAAAAAAGAGCGAGAAGGAGAGAGAGCGGCAGGTTGTTTCTAAACGGGGTAACATCAGGAAAAGAGTTCTTGTGAGATGGTTCACCTGCAGCAGGTTGGGCACGGGGTAGTGGTGGAAGAGCGAGCCGATAAGTTGGTTTCCGGAAATCCTAAAAAACCAACAGGTTGCGAAACCGCTCAAAGCTCACAGAAGCAGGTTGTGCACCTCACCAAGCAGGGGGCTCACTCAAAATCAAGACACGCCAGGGGGTTCTGGACTCACCTGCAGCAGGTTGTGCACGGGGTAGTGGTAGAAGAGCGAGCCAATCAACAAGCCGAGGATGGAGGACTGGACGATGCGGTTGAGGGAGTGCGAGGTGTTGCGCCAGTAGAAGAGGTGGATGCTGTACTGCACCGCCATCAGCTTGCTTGCACCACGGGCTCTTGAAGAGTCGCCTCAACGCCTTCATTTAACAGTGCTTGTGCTTTGACACGACTCAAGGCACACCAGGGGGCTTTGAAAGGCACACCAGGGGGAGCAAACTCTCACCTGCAGCAGGTTGTGCACGGGGTAGTGGTAGAAGAGCGAGCCGATGAGGAGGCCGAGGATGGAGGACTGGACGATGCGGTTGAGGGAGTGCGAGGTGTTGCGCCAGTAGAAGAGGTGGATGCTGTACTGCACCGCCATCAGCTTGCGCCACGGGCTCGGCAGCTTCACCGTCACCGGCGGCGCCGCCAGCATCAGCAGCAGCGCCTCGCCCGGCGCGGCTTGTTCGTTCGACGCGCTTTCTGCTGCTGTTGCTGCTGCTGCTGCCGCTGCTGGTGCTGCTGATTCTGATTCTGCTGCGGCTGCTGCTGCGTGTGATTCTGCTGCGTTTGATGCTATCGCTTCTGCTACTGCAGCGGAGGCTGCTCGGCGGCGTATCATGCCTTTTGCTTTCAGCCACCCTCCTCCACCCCCTCCTCCGTCTCCCTCGCCCTCCCCGGACCCACTCCCAGTCCCAGAAACAGCAGCAGCAACAGCCGCCGCAGCAGCAGCACACACGTCAAGCCCACTCGGTGTCGCTGCTAAGACTTCTGCTCCCTTGGCGGCAATTTCCTTTTCCTGCTCCAGCGCAGCAAGGGACCACGCTGAGTCAGACGCCACCATCGCCAGGCTGGCGCTCTCATGCTCCATCAACCCCCTTCCTGATTCAACGAATCCCCTCCCACTAACACCACCACCACCACCGGCAGCAGCAGCGGCAGCAGCAGCAGCAGCAGCATCCCTGCCCATCGACCTCGCAGCCTCGAGATTCGCAGCAGCAGCGCGGTCAGCAAAGGCGGCAGCGGCAGCAGCGCCACCTCTTCTGAGAGCGGAGAGGCGGTGGGCGTTGAGCATGGCGAGGTCGGAAACACGATACTCCACGGCATAGTCGCACACTGTGGCTCGCTGCTGGGTGCTGGAGTCATCTCCTAGAAGGTGCTCTATGAATATGATGGGGTTCGTGTGTGGGGGCACTGGGGGCGTGCCTGGGATGGCCGAGAAGTACTCCTGGAAAGGGGGAGGGGCGCGAGAGGAGGCGTGCAACATGTCACCCCGTGAAGCATCTAACATGTTGCTGTTAGCAAGCAGCATCTCACCCAGCAAGTGATGTGCAGCATCTCACTCACTTTCCATGAAAGCGCGAACCAAACTCAGCCTCATCACACTCACCACAAGAGCATTTCCATTTCTCCCCGCTCCGATTCTCCCCGCCGGTCCAAAGTAGACCATGTTCCCACCTCCCCCTACCCAGCATGCCCTCTCACTGATAGTTTTGAGCCCACCCAAGGATTGCATCACTTCACTCACCACGAGCGCCTTCCCGTTCCTCCCCGCAGGCCCAAAGTAGACCATGCCGCCCCCGCTGCCCATCATGAGCAGTGAGTGGAAGGCATTGAGATGGAAGGCGGTAACCGCATTCGACACCACCACCATCGCCCTCCCCCATGCCGCCGCCACGTGCTGTTGGGAGGAACATGAGAGCGCGGGATGGGGGGGATACAAGTGGACATGGTGTGAGGCGAGTGGAAGGCGTTGAGATGGAAGGCGGTAACCGCGTTCGACACCACCACCATCGCTCTTCCCCATGCCGCTGCCACGTGCTGTTGGGAGGAGGGAGGGAGACGAATGGACATTGTGTGATGAAGATCAAGTGACATAATTGAACAGCATCAGGTCTCCTTTCACAAATTGTGCACATTGACTCATACATCTCACCTTAAGCATGCCAAAAAAAGTCGCCACCTCAGTGGTATCCATGCGTAGAAACGGCATGTCAAAGAACACCACACTGGGATTCCCAGCCATCTCCATCGCAAACACGATCCGCTTCTCCACATACATATGAAATAAGAGTAGACGTCTCAAAAACACTCCACGCCGCTGATTGCCCCAGCCCAAGCATCTCATCTCACGCTCACCTTCACCCTGCAGTCACGACCTTCACCCTGCAGGCATGACCTTCACCCTGCAGTCATGACCTTCGCCCTGCAATCATGACCTTCGCCCTGCTGCCTGCTGGTATTCTCACCTTGAGCATGCCAGAAAACTTGGCCACCTCAGTGGTGTCCATGCGTAGAAACGGCATGTCAAAGAACACAACACTCGGGTTCCCCGCCATCTCCATCGCAAACACGATCCGCTTCTCCACATAAGCCGACCCCACGCCGTCCGCCAGAATATCCTGCACCAGGCTGTCCGCCATGCCGCCCTTGAACTCCATAAGAGACAAAATCTGCGCGACAAATGCGCGGCGTTGCTCGTCTTGTACTTGGTTGGGCAGAGTGAGGGTGGTGCGGTAGAGCAGGCTCTCTCGCAGGGTGAGCAGAGGGTAGTAGAGGTCAGCGCCTTGAATGTATGCTGTCGTGCGCAGGAATGAGGGGAGGTCCCGTGGCTTGCCGTTGACTAGTAGGCGCCCATTCACCTGCCCTGGGATCTTGCGACCTGCGTGCGGGCGCCGAGGAGGGGGGGGGGGGGGAGAATAATGGAGCTGAATAGCCAGGTCCCCGCCGTCTTGAGTGCAAGTTGCGGTGCAAAGGAACGATGGAAGGTCTCTCAGCTCGCCATTCACTAGCGTTCGCCCAGTCAACTGGGCAGAGGAAGAAGGCAGGGAGGGAGTTGCACTGGCAGCAGAGTTGAGGCATCCATTAGCCAGGGCGGTATGGAGAGGAACAACGGAATGGACATCCAGGCCTGAGTCTACCCCAGAGGAGCCTCAGATCAGACAAGCCTACCCACCTGCGAGGCAGTTGAGCAGGGTGGTCTTGCCGGTGCCCCTGCCACCCGACACAGCTGTCACCTCCCCCGGTTTCACCCACCCAGTCACGCCCCGCACCAGGCTCCGGCTGGCATCGCTCCTCCTCCTCTCCTCACCACTAACACCCACCGACGACCTCCCCCAGGCGTTATCAGGCGGGCCAGGCAGCGGCACGGAGCAGGAGAGGTTCTCAAAAGTGATGATGTAGGGGTTGAAGGGGATGTTACAGTCCATGATCGCTGCCTCTGCTGCCCCCGCTGCCTCCGCCGCTGCTGCCGCCGCCGCCGCCGCTGCATCCGCTGCCGCTGCTGCTTCTTCTGGTGCTGAGCTGCCGTAACCACCCCTGGAAACCGCAGAACCAGGAGCAGGGCCCCACTCCACGTCTCTGTAACTCGCATGGCTTCCCATCCCTCCCTGCTCCTCTGCTCCTGCAGCACGCTCCTTTTGGGACCCACCCTCTCCTCCGCCCGCTGCTGCTGCCTCCTTCCCGCTGCCCTTCCCCTGCCATGAGCCCCCCAAGGCAGCTGTAACTGCCCCCAGAGCCCTTGATACTGCACCCCCAGTTGCTCCTCCCCCATTCCCCTCCCTCTTCTCCTCCTCCCTTACACCAACCCGCTTCGCCCCGCGCTTGGCCTCAGACAGCACCTTGACAGGCGCAGCGAATTTGCTGTAGTGCTGCGGCCGCATGCTCAGAAAGGTGCCCACGGTCCAAATGGCGATCCACGCGAGGATGACAAACGGCCCTGCAATCAAATACCCCCATTCGTAATTCCAGCTGTATTCTTCCATGTATGCCCGGCCGATAGGCCAGTGCTCCCTCCCCACACAGTATGGCATGCTGGTTGGGACGAGCGCGGGAGCCGGACAGAACTGCACGGGAATGTACTTTCTCTGCTCGTTGATCGCGAGGACTGTGGAAGCCCACTGCATCGGGTTGATCCAGTATAGCCAGATCCAGAAGTTCGGTATAAGCGCCTTCGCGACGAGGATGTGGCCGAAGAGGAACATGCAGGGACCCATGAAGATGGCGGCGGCGAAGGCCGCGGAGCGGAGGGTACGGGAGGTGAAGGCGATGAAGCGGATCATGGCTGCGCCGTGGATGGCGACGAGGGAGAGGACTGCGAGGAAGATGAAGAAGTGCGCTCCGTAGTCGGAGAGCGTGAGGCCCGAGAGGAAATACACCAGCACCGACCAGATGGTCGCCTGTTGGGGGGGGGAGAAAGGGAGGCTGCTGAACTGCTTTTCATCCAAGTCCTTTCCACATCGCATCACATCACATCACATCACATCACATCACATCACATCACATCACATCACATCACATCACATCACATCACATCACATCACATCACATCACATCACATCACATCACATCACAATCACATCACATCACAATCACATCACATCACATCACATTCCACATTCACATCACATTCACATCACATCACACATACTTGTGCAACAATCTGCCCCACCAACCCACCCACATCGACAATGGACGGTGGCAGGCTGGCGATGAGCTGCGAGTGTGCAAGAGCGTGTGGTAAAGACAAGCATATTTCTGTTTGTTCAACCGCCCCACCCACCCACCCATCCACCCACCCGCCCACGCACCCACCCACGCACCTCGACAATGGAGAGCGGCAGGCTGGCAATGAGCTGTGCGAGCGTGTAGGAGAGCAAGCGGAAGAAGCGTGCGCTGCAGTGCGTGGCACCTTCATCTCAACATCCACCCCACCCCACACATTCTGAGCCTCCTCAAAATGAGCCCCACCCACCTCGACAATGGAGAGCGGTAAGCTGGCGATGAGCTGAGCGAGAGCGTAGGAGCGCGTGCGGAAGAAGCGGGCGCTGCGGTGCTTGAAGTACACCTGGCGCTCCAGCATGTAGCCCGGCAGCAGGCTGACGTTGTTGACGGTCATGGTGATGAGTGAGATCTGCATCACTCCCCTCCGCAGGTTCAGGTGCGCAAAGGAGGGCGGTTCGGCTGGGAGCTGGAAGAAATCAAATCCCACGAATAGGCCCAGCAGGGTGACCTGGAGAGGGAGGGAGGAAGGATGAAGGGAGAGTAAGAGGGCGAGAGGGAGGGAGGGAGAAGGTAGAGTGAGAAGGTGGGTCTTAGGGAAGTTCTTGTTTTCAACGGGCAGCAGGCTGACGTTGTTGACGGTCATGGTGATGAGTGATATCTGTACTTTCAATGCAATGCCCACAAGCAGCGACTCCCCACCCCACACACACCTAAATTCCACTAGAACAGCCCACCAGCACCATCCCATTCATCCCACCAGCACCAAGCCCCTTCTCTCACCAGCAGCAGGCGGGCAGCAATGAAGCTCCAGTTCCGCAGGTTCACTCGAAGCTGTCGCCTCAACAGCAGCTTGAACTCAGGCCACATGTCCAGAATCAACTCCTTCCGCAGCAGCTCCCTGTTCTCGCCGCCCCACAGCCAGCCAACCCACCCACACAGCAATCTCCCACCAAAACACCCCATCCCTGCACCAAAGGCTTCCACTCACCTGCACTAACCCCTCCAACTTACAAGCAAGAGGCGGGCAACAATGAAGCTCCAATTTCTCAGATTCACCCGAAGCTGTCTTTTAAGCAGCAGCTTGAACTCAGGCCACATGTCCAGAATCAACTCCTTACGCAGCAGCTCCCTGTTCTCCCCGCCCCACAGCCCCACCATCTCACTCCCACTGCAATCTCGCACCAAAACGCCCCATCTCTGCACCAAAGGCCTCCCCTCCCTCACCTGCCTGCACCAGCCCCTCCCCCTTACCAGCAGCAGGCGGGCAGCAATGAAGCTCCAGTTGCGCAGGTTCACTTGCAGCTGCCACCTCAACAACAACTTAAACTCAGGCCACATGTCCAGAATCAACTCCTCCTTCAGCAGCTCCCTGTTCTCCCCACAGCACAGAAAGCCACCCCACCCACTTACCAGCAGAAGGCGGGCAGCAATGAAGCTCCAATTTCTCAGATTCACCCGAAGCTGTCTCCTCAGCAGCAGCTTGAACTCGGGCCACATGTCCAGAATCAACTCCTTGCGCAGCAACTCCCTGTTCTCCCCGCCCCACAGCCCCGCCATCGCCGCCGCCCGCGACGCCGCGGCAGCAGCCGACAAGTTGAAGGCTTTAAGAGCCTGCGCGGCGCCCTTGCCCGGAAGCTGGATGAAGTCCCCGCTCCTCCTGCTGCTGCCCTGCAGGCCTTTGAGTGCAGACAGGCTGATGCTCTTGAAGGCTTTACTGATGGCATGAATGCCCCCCTTCTTGCTCCGCTTCATGCCCCCTGCTGCTGCTTCTCCTATTCCATGCTCTCCCTCGTCGCCCGGACCTGCCGCGCCCGGTTCGGCACTGTCGAGCCTGGCACTGTGGGCAACCAGAGCGTGGGTGTCATCAGCGCCAGCATGGCTGTCATGGATGTCAACACGGGTATCGTTGCCATCAGCGCCACCAGCACTCGCACCACCACAGCCTGCCTGTGCCTCCAAGTCAGTGGGCGCCTGGGCGGTGCAGCTGCCTATCAGCTGCTCCGCTTCTTCCTCCCTCTTGGCGTCGCCGCTGCTGCAGCCGCCTTGGGTGGCTGCTTCCTGGCCGGGTTCTTCTTGTGTCACTGTGGAGTTCTGGATGAGGGAGGGGAGAAGGAAGTAGAGGGAGACCCTCAAACCCCTAACCTTAAACCCTGAAATCCGTTTAACCCTATATGGCAGGAACTACCTTTCGAAGGGCAGGCGACGATATCTAGAGGCACAGGCAAGATATGCAGGGATGCATGACCCTTACCAAACCCAAACCCCATGCAACAACTCCCACAACCACAGCATATCCTCAAGGCCTCACCTGCTGTGTGACTATATTGAGCGGTCGCTGCAGTTCCAGGTGCAACCACGTGGAGCTGTCCCTCACCTCTTCCAGCATCTCCATGATCTCCTCCCCCGGTACATCCCCGCCCGCATACTTGGCATACTCCATCTCACCCCGATCGCCCACCGTCACTGCCACCACCACATCCCCCACACACACCGGTCCCGTTGCCTCCACCCCGTCCTCCAACAGCCCTCCCTCTGCCCGTCTCCTTCCTCTCCCGCGCTTTCCGCCGCCTGCTGCTGTCCCCGCTCCGCCGTTCCCTCCGTCCTCTTCAAATACCACTCGGGATTCTGTCACCACTACTGCTTGGTACGATGATGACACTCCCGGCCCTTTTGCTTCTCCTCCTGCTGCGCTCTCTGCTGCCCCGCTGGTCGCTGCTGCACCGCCCTGCTGCTGCTGCTTGCTGTTTCTCTCGCCGTTTGACGCTGATGTGGCGGCGTTTGGAGCGCTGGCGCTTGCTGATGTGGCATCAGGTGCCACGTCAGCGATGGCGCAGCGGATGCGGGAAAGGACGTGGCATGCCGGCCCGGAGATCCAGAGGAGGAGGAGGGGCGTGGAGTGGCTTGTGACTCGGAGGATGTTCTTGTAATGAGGGGACTTCTTGTATGAACGCACTGTTGGCAGGCAGGCAGAATGGATGGGTGTATGAAAAACAAAAAGAACAATGGTGAAAAAAAAATGCAACACACACGGGGATAGGAAGAAAATGCAGCATATACCCCAATATACCTGTGCAACGAGACGAGTTACTCGCTCGGACTCGGCCGAGTTACTCGTTTGGGTGCGAGTAACGAGTTTCGGTTTTTGTAAAATTTACTCGTCCGAGTCGAGCCGAGTTTTACTCGCCGAGCTTTTTTTGCTCGACGAGTACTCGCGTGCGAGGCCTATCCAGGTCTAAGCAGGCTTCCACGGGCTTACCGCGGCAACGCAAGGCTACCCTGGGCCACCCTGGGCGGCCCTGGGAACTCCAATACTTCCGTAGTAGGGCACATGGCCGAGCATTACTCGTACTCGGCCGAGTTCCCTTTTATAAGGCGAGTAACGAGTTTCTGTTAGGGGGAAAAAAGCTCGGGCGAGTATTACTCGACTCGGGCTCGTACTCGGCCGAGCAAGGCTAGGGACGAGTCGAGCATTACTCGGCTCGCCCCTTTGCACAGGTAGATACCCCAAGTAACAGCAGTTTGCCATAGCTACATGTAGCATCAGAATAATACATCCAAACTGAGGCTTGCTAAACCATAAACGCTGAACCTTCATAAAAATCTGTTGAAATACCGTTTTCCATTCTAAGGCACTGCCTTCAACGGGGCCAAGTGAAGGCCACACGGCATGAAAGCAATCACACCCCACTCAGTGACCACCGTGAACCCGTCACCACACACTACCGATTTCACTCTCCCCCCACCCCAGCCCCATCATATCTTTAAACCCCTCAGCACCACGGGCACTCTCCAAAGCCCTTAAGCAGCAGCTCCTCTTGCCGGACCCGAGGGCCCCCTTTGGCTTTTGCATTGACTCAAAAGTAACCTCAGTCACACGCACCGAACCACCCACTCACCTTGCATTGCACACAAACTCACCATACCCCTCAGCAGCATCGACACTCACCATACCTCTCCAGCAGCTTCGGCACTCACCATACCTCCCCAGCAGCTTCGGCACTCACCATACCTCTCCAGCAGCATCGGCACTCACCAGAGCGCTCGAGCACCAGCGTCCTCTTGCCGGACCTGAGAGCCCTCTGGCTTTTGCATCGACTCATAAGTCACCTCAATCGCACTCACAGAACCCCTCACTCACTCACCTTGCATTGCATGCTCACTCACCAAAGCCCTCCAGCAGTTTCCTCTTGCCGGACCTAAGGGCTCCCCCTCCCTCCGTGGTGACGCAGCAGCAGCTACCCATCTCACTTCCTCGGCCCCATCATCTTACCGAATCTAACCCCTCTGCACCACACTCACCAAAGCCCTCAAGCAGCAGTTTTCTCTTGCCCGACCTGAGAGCCCCCCCTCCCTCCGTGGTGACATGCTGCAGGTACTCTGGCACTGACATGTGTAGTGGCTTCAGATAGCTGGGGAGGGGGGGGGGGGATGGTGTGGGGGAAGGAAGGGGTGGGAGACGAGGAGAGAGGAATGGAGGAAGTGAAGGAAAGGAGAGTGAGTAGGGGCACTGGGTCGCCAACGCCCTCTGTGGTGACGTGCTGCAGGTACTCGGGCACTGACATGTGTAGTGGCTTCAGGTAGCTGAGAGAGGGGGGAGGATGGTGTGGGGGAAGAAGAGGAGCGAAAGGAGGGCGGTAAGATGACAAGGAATTACAGCAGCAACCACAAGGCCAAGACGAGCAGAAACATGAGAAGGGGCAGCACATTCACGCACGCGCGCGCGCGCGCGCACACACACACACCATGTTTCTCCCGCTCACCCCAGCTGCTGGAAGTGTCTTAGCGCGGTGTGGCAGGGCCCCTGGTAGACAATGTTGCCCTGGTTGAGTGCCACACCGCACCATGAGAAGCAGCACAGCAAGCCGCACAGCACACATACACACACACGCACACACATCGCTCTCTCTCACCCCAGCTGCTGGAAGTGCCTGAGAGCGGTGTGGCAGGGCCCCTGATAGACGATGTTGCCCTGGTTGAGCACGATGACGCGGTCAAAGAGGGAGAAGACGGCCTGTGTGGGCGACTGCAGTGAACACAGCACCGCGTGCTGCCGCACCTGGTGTGTGAAGGTGGGGTGTGGGTGTGGGTGTTTGTGAGGGGGTGAGGGTGTGCGTGTGTGTGCGTGTTTGTGAGAGGGTGAGGTATGGGTGTGGGGGTTGGAAGAGGGATGGCAGCTGGCAGAGAAGAGTGGCGGTTAGAAGGTGGTGGTGGAAAGGCGTACAAAGAGACATTTGAGTCGACATAGAAGGAGTGCTAGTGGTGGAGAGGTGTGCAGAGAGGCGGGAAGGGGGGAGAGGCAAAGGAGCACAAAGGCATCTGCAGGGCGCAGGGTGCACATACACACACGCAGCAGCTGACCTGGGCGTGGGTGCGCAGCATGGTGAGCGTCTTGTGCGTTGAGGGCCCATCATACACCTGACTGATGCGATCAAACAACAGCACCTGGGTTGGGGGGTGGGGTACAGGGGAGGAGGAGGAGGAGGAGGAGGAGGAGGAGGGAAAGGGGCAGATGTGGAGAGAAGAGAAGCAGCACATGCGAGCATGGTGAGTGTCTTGTGCGTGGAGGGCCCATCATACACCTGACTGATGCGATCGAACAGAAGCACCTGGAGAGGGGAAGCAGGGACGGGGGCGGACGGGGAGAGAAGCAGCACACAAGAGTAGGGTGAGCACATTCGGTTAGGGCACGTTCGGATAGGGCACATTCGGTTAGAGCACATTCAGTTAGGACACATTCGGATAGGGCACATTCGGTTAGGGCACATTCGGTTAGCGCACATGCGGTTAGGTTCGGTTAGGGAACATTCGGTTAGGGCACATTCTGTTAGGGCACATTTAGTTAGGGCACATGCGGTTCGGGCACATGCGGTTCGGGCACATGCAATAAGCCCTCCACCCTCTCACCCTAAACCCTGAACCTTAAACCCTGAGCGCCAACCATGAGCTCAGCGGCAGTCAGTCGGTGCACCTCATCCTCCGTCAGCGCCCCGGACCCAACCTGCTCTTCCCCATGCCTCCTCAACCCAAACATGGCCTCTCGGGTCGCCACCAGGGGGTTCTCCCCTCTCTCTATGCTCGCCCGTAGCCCTTAAAAAAACTCACCGGATACAACCCAACCGTGAGCTCAGCGGCAGTAAGTCCTGATCCAACCCAGCCAGCTCCCCCCACCTCACCCCTCATCCTTCTAAAGCCGCCTCATTACTCAGCAGCAGTCAGCCGGTGCACCTCATCTCGAGTCAGCGCCTCCGACCCCACCCTAACTCCCGCATGCCTGCGCAGCCCAAACATGGCCTCTCTGGACGCCACTAGAGGATCCTCCCCTCTCTCTATGCTCGCCCTCAACCGCTAAAAACTCACCGGATATGACCCAACCATCAGCTCAGCAGCAGTCAGCCGGTGCACCTCATCCCGAGTCAATGCTCCCGACCCCACCCTAACTCCCGCGTGCCTGCGCAGCCCAAACATGGCCTCACGGGACGCCACTAGAGGGTCCTCGCCTCTCTCTATGCTCGCCCGCAGTGCCTTGCTCAGCATGGGGTGCTGCAGCAGCTGCTTGGACGAGAGAGGGTACGAGCAGTGGCGCGCGAATTCGAGGGTTTCGTGAACGGAGAGGGTGGGCAGGTGGCAGTCCCCTTCGAAGCCCACCCCCACGAGGCGGTGCGCGCGCGACGGCGTGATGGGGACGGCGTTGAACGAGACGGTGCCGGTATTGGCTGGTAGTCTGCCGGCTAGCAGCTTGATCAGCATTGACTTGCCGCTGCCTGTGGGAGTACAGGGAAGAAAAGGGGGAGAGGACGGGCAGGAGGATGGAAAGAAGGGCTGGGGTTGAGGGACTGGAGCACAACAGGTGAAGGTGAGGGTCTTGTGGGCTCTCGTGTACGGAGAGGGTGGGCAGGTGGCAGTCCCCTTTAAATCCCACCCCCACAAGGCGGTGCGCGCGGGACGGCGTGATGTGATGGGCAACGCGTTGAAGACGACCATGCCCGTGGTGGCTGGTAGCCGGCCGGCTAATAGCTTGATTAGCATTGACTTGGCGCTGCCTGTGGGTGGGGCATTGGGGAGGCAAGAAGTGGGGTAGGTGTGGATGTAGCAGGGCACGGAGGGCGTGATGGGGACGGCGATGCCCGTGGTGGCTGGCAAACGGCCGGCGAGCAGCTTGATCAGCATGACTTGCCACTCCTGTGGGGCCATGGGGAGGGAAGAAGTGGGGGAGTGGATGATTAGTGTAGGGAGGGCGTGATGGGGAGGGCGTTGCCCGTGGTGGCTGGCAAACGGCCGGCAAGCAGCTTGATCAGCATGACTTGCCACTCCTGTGGGGCCATGGGGAGGGAAGAAGTGGGGGAGTGGATGATTAGTGTAGGGAGGGCGTGATGGGGAGGGCGTTGCCCGTGGTGGCTGGCAAACGGCCGGCGAGCAGCTTGATCAGCATGACTTGCCACTCCTGTGGGGCCATGGGGAGGGAAGAAGAGGGGGAGTGGATGATTAGTGTAGGGAGGGCGTGATGGGGAGGGCGTTGCCCGTGGTGGCTGGCAAACGGCCGGCGAGCAGCTTGATCAGCATGACTTGCCACTCCTGTGGGGCCATGGGGAGGGAAGAAGTGGGGGAGTGGATGATTAGTGTAGGGAGGGCGTGATGGGGAGGGCGTTGCCCGTGGTGGCTGGCAAACGGCCGGCGAGCAGCTTGATCAGCATGACTTGCCACTCCTGTGGGGCCATGGGGAGGGAAGAAGAGGGGGAGTGGATGATTAGTGTAGGGAGGGCGTGATGGGGAGGGCGTTGCCCGTGGTGGCTGGCAAACGGCCGGCGAGCAGCTTGATCAGCATGACTTGCCACTCCTGTGGGGCCATGGGGAGGGAAGAAGTGGGGGAGTGGATGATTAGTGTAGGGAGGGCGTGATGGGGAGGGCGTTGCCCGTGGTGGCTGGCAAACGGCCGGCGAGCAGCTTGATCAGCATGACTTGCCACTCCTGTGGGGCCATGGGGAGGGAAGAAGTGGGGGAGTGGATGATTAGTGTAGGGAGGGCGTGATGGGGAGGGCGTTGCCCGTGGTGGCTGGCAAACGGCCGGCGAGCAGCTTGATCAGCATGACTTGCCACTCCTGTGGGGCCATGGGGAGGGAAGAAGAGGGGGAGTGGATGATTAGTGTAGGGAGGGCGTGATGGGGAGGGCGTTGCCCGTGGTGGCTGGCATACGGCCGGCGAGCAGCTTGATCAGCATGACTTGCCACTCCTGTGGGGCCATGGGGAGGGAAGAAGTGGGGGAGTGGATGATTAGTGTAGGGAGGGCGTGATGGGGAGGGCGTTGCCCGTGGTGGCTGGCAAACGGCCGGCGAGCAGCTTGATCAGCATGACTTGCCACTCCTATGGGGCCATGGGGAGGGAAGAAGTGGGGGAGTGGATGATTAGTGTAGGGAGGGCGTGATGGGGAGGGCGTTGCCCGTGGTGGCTGGCAAACGGCCGGCGAGCAGCTTGATCAGCATGACTTGCCACTCCTGTGGGGCCATGGGGAGGGAAGAAGTGGGGGAGTGGATGATTAGTGTAGGGAGGGCGTGATGGGGAGGGCGTTGACGGCGACTGTGCCCGTGGTGGCTGGTAGACGGCCGGCTAGCAGCTTGATCAGCATTGACTTGCCACTGCCTGCGGGATTACAGGGAAGAGAAGGAGGGGGAAAGGAGGGGCGCGGGTGGGTGATGAAAAAGGGGAGAAATGGGTTGTGAAGAAAATTAGGGGGAAGGGCTCAATGGAGCAGGGAGGGCATAGTGGGGAGGGTGTTGAAGGAGAGGGGGGCGATGTGCCTCCTGGCTAGGAGGCAGATTAGGGTTGGACGAGTGAGGGAATGGGGGGATACCGCCGGGCAGGCGGCATGCAATTTCCGTTCACCAGCTGGGCAGCAGTCTCAAGACGGGCACACCTGAGGCCCACCTGAAGCCCACCTGAGGCCCACATGAGGCCCACCTGAGGCCCACATGAGGCCCACCTGAGGCCCACATGAGGCCCACCTGAGGCCCACATGAGGCCCAACTGAGGCCCACTTGAGGCCCACCTGAGGCCCACCTGAGGACTGCCTGAGGCAACCCAGGTGGATGAGAGTCACACGACACGAGTGACTCACCTGAGGACCACCTGGGACCCACCTGAGGCAACCCCAGGTGGATGGGAGTCCCACAACAAGAGTGACTCACCTGAGGTTCCCAGGAGGAGTGTGAGGGTCCCTGGCATGAGGAAGCTGCGAGGAAAGTGCAAAAGGCGATGGAGCAAGGCAGAGGTTGGCAGTGGAATGGAAAGGGGGAGCAGAAGGCGGTGAGTGAGGGGGTGGGAGAAACAAGTCGCGCATGAGAGGTGAGACATGTGTGTGGCACGTGGGATACACATGCTGTGCACGTGGAATACACATGCTGTGCACGTGGAATACAAATGCTGTGCACGTGGAATACACATGGACGCGAGAAACAGCGTGCAGGACAGAACAGGTGTGTGCGCAGCACACCCTTAATCTACACGTACAGCAGAGAGCAGGAGACGCACCCTGCGATGCAACACATGGGCGTGAGATACAGTGTGCAGCGCAGGACATGCGAACCCAGGCACCCTGCGACACATGGTCGTGATTGAGATACAGCAGGACAGGACAGGACAGGACAGGACAGGACAGGACAGGACAGGACAGGACAGGACAGGACAGGACAGGACAGGACAGGACAGGACAGGACAGGACAGGACAGGACAGGACAGGACAGGACAGGACAGGACAGGACAGGACAGGACAGGACAGGACAGGACAGGACAGGACAGGACAGGACAGGACAGGACAGGACAGGACAGGACAGGACAGGACAGGACAGGACAGGACAGGACAGGACAGGACAGGACAGGACAGGACAGGACAGGACAGGACAGGACAGGACAGGACAGGACAGGACAGGACAGGACAGGACAGGACAGGACAGGACAGGACAGGACAGGACAGGACAGGACAGGACAGGACAGGACAGGACAGGACAGGACAGGACAGGACAGGACAGGACAGGACAGGACAGGACAGGACAGGACAGGACAGGACAGGACAGGACAGGACAGGACAGGACAGGACAGGACAGGACAGGACAGGACAGGACAGGACAGGACAGGACAGGACAGGACAGGACAGGACAGGACAGGACAGGACAGGACAGGACAGGACAGGACAGGACAGGACAGGACAGGACAGGACAGGACAGGACAGGACAGGACAGGACAGGACAGGACAGGACAGGACAGGACAGGACAGGACAGGACAGGACAGGACAGGACAGGACAGGACAGGACAGGACAGGACAGGACAGGACAGGACAGGACAGGACAGGACAGGACAGGACAGGACAGGACAGGTGCGCAGTAAGTATGCACTTAGTCTACACGTACAGCAGAGAGCATGAGACGCACCCTGCGACACATGGTCGTGAGATACAGTGTGCAGTGCAGGGCAGGAGCGGTGGGTGGGAAGAAAAGAGGAGGGCAGGGCATGAGACGCACCCCGAGACGTCGTCGAGCACGTGAATGGTCTCCTTCCTCTGAAAGCCCGCGATGGCCTTGAGCTTGAAATAGGGCTGCTCCGATGCGAGAGAGAGGGACAGAGGGGGACCGATAGGGCCAAAGAGGGAGAGAGAGGGAGAGAGAGCGACAGAGAAGGGGGTAGAGCGACAGAGAGGGAGAGAGAGGGACAGTGAGGGACAGAGAGTAACAGAGGGGAAAAGAGATGGGGCGATGAGCAAGAGCAAATGAGGTAGCTTGTGTTGCACGGCTCCTCACTCTTCTCCCTTCCACACCAGCTGGTTCCACACCGCACAAATTGTAATGGCCTTGCGGCATGGCACAGCCTGGTCGTACAGCCAGCCAGCCTCGTCGTACAGCCAGTGACCTTTGGGTCGACTAATAAAACCACCCGCTGCTTCTGCACCGCCCACATTGCAATGATGGCCTTGCGGCATGGTGCAGTGCAGCCTCGTCGTACAGCCAGTGAGTGACCTCCCTGCGTCCCCCATGCATGCCACCATTGCCACCATTCTCACCGCATCCCCCTAGCCCTAGTGGGCTGGGGCATGGCTCACCATCCCCACCCACACCTCACTCTCAACCCCCCACCCTAATGAGGATTATCGAACAACTCACCGCACCACTCTTCTGAGGATTCTCAAAGGTCTCACCGCGTTGAAGCAGTTTTTGGTTTGATCCGGAATGACCACCACCTTCTTTGTCACTGAGACGTGGCTGAATGTCACCACCTGATTGGACGGGTTACACACGTGGGTTTATGGATCGCTGAGTTAAGGACGGCCATGCAGGTCTGCACGCACACGCTCGCATGCGCACGCACGCACGCACGCACGCACGCACGCACGCACGCACACACACACACACACACACACACACACACACACACACACACACACACACCCACACATAAGCGCACGTACGCACACACATACCCGCGCGCGATTGCGGACGCACGCAAGCATGCACGCACGCGTGCGCGCGCGCACACACACACACAACACACACCCACGCGTGCGCGCGCGCACACACACACACAACACACACCCACGCGCGCGCGCGCACGCACGCACGCACGCACACCCCCCCCCCCCCCCCCCCACACACACACACCCCTGTTCCCCCTAGTTCTCACCTGCGGCTGCGCGCACAGCAGCTGCGGCTGCATGGCAATAAGATACTTCTGCAACCCCTCCCTCACCCTCCCCTCCCCCGCCCCTCCCCCGCCCCCCCTCGCCATGCTGTGTGCGCTCACCTGCGGCTGCGCGCACAGCAGCTGTGGCTGCATGGCAATAAGATACTTCTGCAACCCCTCCCTCACCATCACCTCCCTCCTCGCCCCCTCCCCCTCCTCCTCCCCCTCGTTCTCCATCCCCCCAGCCCCCAACCACCCCCCACTCCTCCTCCCCCTCTCCCGTCCCCCTCCTCTCCATCCTCCCCCTCCCCCTCCGCCTCCTCCTCCTCCCACGCGCGCCGCGACGCCATGCTCTTGATGCTCACGAGGCGCGCGGCGGCGGACGCGGCGATCTCCTGCGCCTCGTCCGCGAGCCCGTGCGCGGTGAGCGCGTCGTGGTACCGTCGGATCAGGTTGATCAACGGCGCCTCGCCAATCCCGAACAGCTCGTTGTAAAAGGCCGACGACGACGGGCCGCTGAGGCCCGTACTAGGCTCTTCCGCGTCGGAATCGCCGGGGAACGCGGAGGAAGCGGCGGAAGCGGAAGGAACGAATGCGCCAGTGGCGGGGGAGTGCCACGTGTCAGGGCCGAGACCGGCCCCGCTTTGCCCCTCCCCGAACTGTGCATTCGTTGTGGTGTCGCCTGCCGCTTTGTCCTCGTTATGAACCTCCTCCATTGCGCCGTCAACGCCGAGTTGCCACGTGCCAGCAGCGAAGCTCACTCGCCCGAGTTTCGCCCGCCTGGCTCTCTGCCCGCTGCTCGCTTCATCCCCCCCTTCTCTGGCTCCCCCGGGCGCGGTCTCCCCGTGGCCATCCCCGCTGCGCGCTTCTTGTCCGTCAGCTTCCCCGCGCACTGGCTCCTGCTCCTCCGTTTTTTCCGCTTCCGGCTCAGCGCCTTCGTTGATCGACCCGACTTGGTACAGCATCGGCGCGCCACCGGACGCGCTACTACTCGGTATCGCGCTGCTCTCTAACGAGTCCCTTTCTGGAATATTCGCAGCACTCCTGTCGCTAGCGGTAGGGCTGTTCGGCGAGGGGGCTACTACTAGGGAAGGGTGATTCATAAACGATCGCGAGCCAGTGAAGGATTGCTGTTGACGCGACGACTGCTGACGTGTCGACTGCTGACGCGTCGACGGCTGACGCGTCGACGGCTGACCCATCGACTGCTGGCGCATCATCGACTGCTGACGCATCGTCAACCGACGCCGGAGCGCGGCATAATCGTTGGTCACGGCGGCGCTGCGACGGAATTCGCCGAAGGAGGAAGCCGGAGTGACGCCATCGTACCAATCGTCTAGCGTATCGGGTACAGCTGACGTGGCATCGTCAGGATCCAAGATGGATGGGGCCATGAGGACGATTATGAACAGACGGTGGAGATGAAAACGAGCTGGTTATTACTAGAGATACGACTTGGAATAAATAAGCGTTAAACTCGACTACCGCCGCGCCTACCGCCGCGACTACCGCAATATTACGTTCTGTCGCATAGTCAGTCGCATTATCCGCCTAAGGTTGATGCCTCCGACTCGTTTCCTGTGATAACAGTACCCATGATGTTCCTCGCCCTCTGTCGCGTGGTGCACATTCGCCGTGACGAGAAGGACCTATTTTCGCCTGATGTCGCACGAAAGCAATTCCGCGAATCACAATGAGAGGTGTGCAATGAGATGAGAGGCTCTAGGTTTGCCAACCGACAGTTTGGGTTCGCCAAAAAGCGAGCGGCTCAAATTACCTCACGACTACTGTAGCTTACTCTGCTGTAGCAACTGTTGTGAGCCAAGCGGCTTATCATGTGGACGGTTCTCGCGGTTGGGAAGAAGCTGCAGTATCACCATCATGACATTCATCACCCCATCCTTTCCTTTGCATTATCGAGCATCACCATTCACTATCCACCTACCCCCTACCCCGCTGCGTCGCCTGCGCCGCCATGAACGCTTCATTTGTTGTGCTTCTCGTCGTTGTGTGCTTTCCAGCCTGGGGAGCTTCCGAACGTTACGGCACTGGTATGGTTCGGCATGTTTTGCCATGGTTTGGGATAACGGGACACATTTTTTCCTCGTCTCTGGCGGGAAATGTTGATACACTGGAATGGTTCGGAATAGGCTGGTTTGGTTGGGCTCCCACGTCTTTCGTTTGGGTTCGGAATGTCAAACCGTACGGGGCAAAATATGTCAATGGTAACTTACATGGGGCACTGTAACGCGTACGGTAACGATTTCAACGCGTTTGGTAACTCGCTTAACACGTTTGGTAACTCGCTTAACACATTTGGTAACTCTACACTAGCAGCCCATCACGCGAATGGTAACTACATGAAATTCCCGCCGAAATGATCCTGACAAAGAGGATTTTATCGAGATTAAACGTTTTTACGCACAGTATTATCTATTTTGAACAAGTCCCGCCGCGAATTTGAAGGACCCCGTTTGTTCTAATACCACGGACAAAAAAGTTTCAGAGCCATTTTATATATAAATGTAGCTCGTACAAAAATGGTTACAATTTATATATAAACGTAGTACTGCTTCGTTTTGGAGAGTTTTGCTCAATTTCGCGAAATCGCGCTTCGTTTTCTTTTCGCCATTTGGCGTGCCTACGATCGCGCAAACCGCGATCTGTTTTATTTTCCCCACAAATTTCAAGGGAATTTTAGTTAAGTTTTGTTACGATATGAAGCTTTATGAGAAGGCATTCCTGTATGCTGCAGGAGCCGACTCTACCGAGTACGAAGTCGAGGAGTCAGAAGAGTCGAAGCGACACAGCAACCGTCTGACTAAGACCGATGCAGGCAGAAGCATTTGAAGTGAAAAGAGCGGGAACAGGTTTGAAACTGATTCCCGCGCCGCACGGTTTAAATTTCGCTGCAATAAGGGAATGTACCCCTTAGAGTACATGGCTAGTCTAGGTCGTTTCGCATTCCTTTGTATTTCTATATAAACCCAATGTATGCATGCTATTATCAATCTCAGTCATTTACATTCACTCTGACCTGAGTTCACTACTTCCGCTGCGACACTACCCGCGATCAACCCTGAACGATCCTCTTCGCTAAGTCACACTTCAGATTCTAATATAGAGTACGGTGGCGGTTCGAGCAGTGGTGAACGTAGTACTGCTTCGTTTTGGAGAGTTTTGCTCAATTTCGCGAAATCGCGCTTCGTTTTCTTTTCGCCATTTGGCGTGCCTACGATCGCGCAAACCGCGATCTGTTTTATTTTCCCCACAAATTTCAAGGGAATTTTAGTTAAGTTTTGTTACGATATGAAGCTTTTGTTAAACTGTATTATGCTTGTAGGCTGTAGTGGGGTAGCCAATATGGGGTACAACCCCAACTAGGGTTTCATATTTGTACCCAAACTTCTGTTAGTTCATTCATTCTTGCCTAGTTATTCTGACATGGTATTCAGAGCAGGAGGTCCCTAGGACCTACCGACCGTTTTTTTTTAAGGGCCCACCACCGCTCGCATGCGGTTACCACGCCCTCGTTAGCGCCCTCGCGCGCCCCTCGTTAGCGCCCTCGCGCGCCCCTTCGTTAGCGCCCTCGCGCGCCCCTTCGTTAGCGCCCTCGCGCGCCCCTTGCTAGCGCCCTCGCGCGCCCCTCACTAGCGCCCTCGCGCGCCCCTCGCCGAGCCGCCCGCTCGCAGCCCGCCCGCCCGCTCGCTGCCCGCTTCGCGGCCCGCTCGCTACGCAGCCCGCCCGCCCGCTCGCTGCCCGCTTCGCGGCCCGCCCGCTTTGCAGCCCGCTCGCTGCCCGCTTCGCGGCCCGCCCGCTTCGCAGCCCGCTCGCTCGCTGCCCGCTTCGCGGCCCGCCCACTTCGCAGCCCGCCCGCCCGCTCGCTGCCCGCTTCGCGGCCCGCCCGCCTCGCAGCCCGCTCGCCCCGCTGCCCGCTTCGCGGCCCGCCCACTTCGCAGCCCGCCCGCCCGCTAGCTGCCCACTTCGCGGCCCGCCCGCTTCGCAGCCCGCTCGCCCCGCTGCCCGCTTCGCAGCCCGCCCGCCCGCCCGCTGCCCGCTTCGCGGCCCGCCCGCCTCGCAGCCCGCTCGCCCCGCTGCCCGCTTCGCAGCCCGCCCACTTCGCAGCCCGCCCGCCCGCTAGCTGCCCGCTTCGCGGCCCGCCCGCTTCGCTGCCCGCTCGCAGCGCCGCCCGCTCGCCCGCTACCTGCTTCGCAGCGCCGCCCGCTGCCTGTGCACTGCCGCTTTCTCCTGTCCCCTCTGCTGCTGCCGCTGCTCTGCTGTGCCCTCACGCCTGAGCTATGGCCTCTATTCGCGTTCTTTCCTTCGATGCTGAGGGCCGTCCCGTGCAGTTCACTTCCTGGCTCGACGACCTGCAGTTGTATCTTATGAGCAATAGCACGGACCACATCTCCCTCTATGACTACGCGTCTGGTGCTGCCGCTGCTCCTGCTGCCACAGCCGAGCTTAGTGTTCGTTCCCACTGGCAGACTCGTGACGCAGCTGCTCGCCTAGCCATTCGCAGTCACCTCCCGCTAGCTGAGCTCGAGCATTTTGGCGACTGCAAATCCGCTAAGGCCCTGTACGACGCTGTCGTCGCTCGCTACTCCTCGCCTGCCACAGCCGAGCTTAGCCGCCTCATGCTGCCGTACCTGTTCCCCGATCTGTCCACCTTTACTACAGTCGCCGATCTTATCACCCACCTTCGCACTAGTGATGCTCGCCTGCGTGCCGCCCTTCCCACCGAGTTCTGCGCTAAGAACCCCCCTCCACTGTACTGGACACTCCACTTCATAGTCACCCGTCTCCCTGACACCCTCCGCTCAGTTTGAGACCACTTCCTTGCTCGCTGTCCCACTGAGCTCACAGTCGCCCTCCTAGAGGAGCACCTGCTCGCGGCCGAAAAGAGCATTGTAGCTGTCGGTGCTGCTCGTGGCGCTCCTCGCACCCCCATCTTTGAGGGGTGTTCTCCCTCTCCCCTCGCTCCCTCCTACGCTGCTGCTGCTGCTGTTGACTTCCTTGGTGCTGAGTCTGTTGGCGCTGCTTCTACTCCTGGTGGGAGGCGCCGCACCGGCAAGGGCAAGGGGGGCAAGGGTGGTGGTGGTGGCGCTGGGGGGGGAGGAGGTGGGGGAGGTGGGGGGGGAGGCGGTGCTGGAGGGAGCGGTGGCGGGAGCGCTGGTGGGAGTGGGGTCGGTGGTGGAGGCGGGGGCGGCGGAGGAAGTAGTGGCGGCGGCGGCGGTGGCGGCGGTGGCGGTGGTGGCGGTGGTGGCGGTGGCGGTCGGAGCGGTGGTAGTGGTGGCGGCGGAGGTCGGAGTGGAGGCACTGGCTCGGGCCAGAGCTCCCAGCAGCAGCAGCGTCCCCAGACGACCCAGCAGCTTCGTGAGTGGCTTGCTCAGCGTGGGACGTCGGGGGCCAGTGGCCGCTGTTCTTATGTCATTCGCACAGGTGACCGCAAGGGACAGACGTGTGGGAGGTTCCACACCCCGTACCGCTGCTTCTCCCGCCTTGACGACGCTTGGCGTGAGGAGATGGGTGCGGATGTTGAGCGCCCCCGCTGGGCTGAGCTCATGAGGGCTGGTGTTGATGTCTTTGCTCTTGACTATGATGCTATTATTGCTGCCATGTATGCATTGACTGTTAGTGCCGAGGGAGACTGTTACTTGTGTGTGCCGCCTGACCCAGGTATAGAGCCCGCTGCCCTGGGTACTAGTGAGTCTGCTCTCTCTGGTATGGTGCCCCCTGTACTTGCTCCCCCCAGTGCTGTCCCGGCTGGTTTCGAGTCTGCTCTCTCAGGTACAGCACCCACAGAGACTGCTCTCTCAGGTACCGCACCGGCTGAGGCCTGTCACACCTTCACCCTTGACTCAGGTGCTTCCCGTTGCTTCTTCCGTGACAGTACTGAGCTCACACCGCTTCCTGCACCGGTCCCAGTCTCCTTGGCTGACCCCTCTAGGGGCCCAGTCCTTGCCCAGTCCACCACTGTCCTCCCTTGTCCGGCGGTTCCGTCTGGCTCGTTGTCGGGTTTCCACCTCCCCTCGTTCTCGACGAACCTGGTGAGCAACGCTGTCCTCCAGGATCAGTGGGTTGACACCTTTACCCCTGGCGGACAGCGTGTGGCGATCTGCACGTGCTCCAGGACCGGCCGTCACCTGGCTACGTTCACCCGTCGGCCGGGGTCGAGTCTCTACACACTGACCACTGCGTCTCCCCAGGTAGCTGCTGTCGGTCAGGTGTCTGCGTCAGGTCTGGTGGCCCACGCCTGTGAGTGTCGTTCCCTGTCGCACCAGACTCTTCTCTGGCACCACCGCCTGGGTCACCCACGGTTCGTCTCCAGCTCCGCCGCCGTTTCCGGACGGATCTTCCTGTCCTGCGTCTGCACTCTGACAGAGGTGGTGAG